TTTATATTATTAATGAAAGCATCATCAAATTTTAAAAGATTAGAAAGTATTAACACAGCGGTTATCTATTAGTCATTAGAGGAGTGTACCTTGTAGTTTTTAATAAAATATCGTGGAACTACGAACTATATACGCACTTGCATATGCCATATACTATAATATTTTATAATAATATGTTTATATTTTGCAGTATCTGGTACTACCTATATTAGTAGGTCTTATTTTAAAACATAATATTATACATATTTTCAATTTTGCATAATTGACAGTTATAGTCCACAATCTATCTAGAATGCCAGTTACATACTAAACATACTTAGGTACATACCTATATACCTATGTAAAAAGTGATTTTTGCGAAATGAATGAATATTTTATTTTTGTTATGATTGTGCGTAGACAATAATTTTGTTATTATAATTAAAGTAATACTATAGTAATTAAAGTATTTTTTTCTTTTAGTTGACGTTGATACAGTTAATAAACTAACCACTCCTGCTTATTAAGATATTAATTTAAAAATATATAATATTATAATATAATATATGAATGTATCGGTGTAAATATATTTAACTGAAAACAATTAATATTTACAACCAGTGGCGTAAATAGTGGGTGGGCATAGTGGACTGCAACCCCCCTCCCCCGAAATTAAGCCTTTTTAAATTGAACAACAATATCTTTTATTAGGTATTATTATAAGTTATAATATTTCATAGCTTGTTGAAAAATAACAAATACGAATATTTATAGAAACTGTTAAATAATAAATATATTGAAGACAGTAGCCTCTAAATAATAGATCACTGGCTAGTTTCTATCTACTATAGCCCACCCCAAAAAATATTTCTATATATGGCATAAGCCACTGGTTATAACTTATAAACTATATAAAGCCATAAAGGGAGAAAAATATACGAATATATTTTATATTTTGTACCTTTAATATAGCGAATATTATTAATTATACATAACATACATTTTCGTCGATCTGATGATTACTTTATGTTTATAATTTTTTATTTTTTAGTTGTGTTTTCAATATCCATGTTATACATATAATATTTGCAGCGTGGCGCCATCGATTGCGAATTAATACCGCCTGCTGGCTATTTAATAAGTAGTATAGTGGTGGTGCGAGGGTGAGAGAAAATACGTAATTGATAAAAATTCCTTTGAATTTGAAGTTCTGCGCATAACTGTACTGTACTTGTCAGTCAGTGGCCACTACCCAGTGGCGCAATTAGGAACAATTTTCTGATGAGGAGAAAAGCGTCTAGGCAATTTTTTCAAAATTTAAATATATATCTTGTAAGAGAATTTATATTTCTGTAATTTTATCCCAAATATTGTACGCATTACAAACCTTATTACATAACAAATATATAAGTACATTATAATATACAGGGGTAAACCGTAACCTTTTTAAGCACAATACCTAGTTATATTTAGCCCTAAAGTTGAAAAAAACGCTAAAATGGTGCAAAGTTACCCCGGTTTACGGTGTACCTATATTATATTATAAATATTTTCATGATAAATTAATGCATTTATTTTATCATAAGAAGCAAACAAACAATTTGTTGTTAAATTTAACATAGGTATAATGAATATTTTATTAATAAATAAATATAAAATTTGAAAACAACTTTTATTGAGGACGCCACACCCGCATAATATGTTGGTCTCCGTCTTACAAATTTAGGTACAACATGGCAAATAGTATGTTCACAAAAATACATTTTACACTGTCATTTCTAAAATTAAAGTGAATTATTGACCGCTTCTGAAATTTAAAGGAAGGTTATTAATTATTATCTAGAGCATCTCGAAGACTTTTATTAATAAATAAATTACATTTACTACATTGTTTGTACATTTTAAAACAGGGCTTGCAAATGTTATAATAACGATTAGGGGGAATTTTTACTGCTAAAATTTTGATCAAAGTATAAGTATTAATGACCATTAATGTTTGCTAAAAACGTATATCCCCCCCAAACCAAATTCCTAATTACGCCACTGAGCTACCTAATATAACTTACAAGTGATACCATTGTTGACTTTAAGTCTTTAACCGTAACATCATCGCATATCTTTTCACTCTTGTTTAAATGTTAGTGTTTTCATCGCTCAGAAGATTCTGTGTGAATGAGAACCATCGTTTCCCTATCCATTATGTTGGCCAAAAATCATAATATCGTATGTTTAGTGAACATAGGAATGCCATATGGCCGTTGGCTGTATCCATTATAGTATGTTTAATATCAATGAACGAATCACCTTGATCTCATTCTGTATAATGACAAAAGTGAAAAACAATATTTTCATAAAATATATCTGCTAGCGCGTTGCATATTTATATGATAATATAGTCTATAGTAGATAATACCTACGTGTCATGTATTATGCCATAATATATTTATTTAGACTATTTTTAGTCGGTATTACCGCATCGGCGCACCTAACCAAAACGTTCAAAACAATATCATTCCTTCCAATAATAAAATATTTCATCTATACCTACTTATATACATAACATACATTCATACTATTGTTCGTATTATTTTTACTAATTAAAAAGTAAGAAAAATTACACGTTAGTATAAACGCCTTAAAAATAATTACATAGGCAAATAAAACTACCCATATTATATCATTGTCGTCATTTGTCGATTATAATAATTTAATATTTATTATAAATTATAATATAGGTAGGTAATATATAACTAATTTTTATTGAAATAAAAAATTGAAATATGTTACAGTACTACAGTGCAGTGTGCACTTTATTTGTAATAGGTAGTTTTTGAACTTTCTAGTAATATCTGGAAAAATTGTAAAATACAGTGAGGTTATACAGGGTGTTTCTGAAATGAATGAGGAAACTAGTATATGCGTACTCAGTGTGATGACCCAATGATGATTTTTTTGAAAATTTTTTTCTACCTTCAAAATCTGGGTTTTTTCAATTTATTTTTAGAACATTATCTTAAATGTAAAAATAAATACTCAAGTTGTATTTTTTGTAAAAATCTCATACGAATCGAGGTGTCACATCATTTTTGAGCTTGTCGCGCGTTTTTCACGCTCGAACCGCCGATTAAAAAAAAATGGTGTGGCACATCGATTTGTATGAGAAAACTACAAGATAAACAGTGGTGATAGTTATTTGTTGAAATTTAACATACACGATTAATTAACACATAAATTCGATCATTTAAGACTCTGTTAACCCTAATTATGTTATTATTTATCATTTTTATTAGTTGACAACAGTGCCGTAAAAACCGGGTGTGCAAAGTGTGCACCGCACACAGGCCTCGGGCCTCATAATATATCGAAGGGCCTCAAAAGATCCAAATACTAATATTAAACTAATATAAAATTATTAAAATATATAAATTATTTATTATTGATTTGGAAACGAAACCAGTGTTTCAAACCAATTGAGAGGAACGAACAAATGTATTGATTTTACAAGATGTGTATAATTTTTTTCATTTCTGTCGGTCATCAACAATGGGTAGTAAAAATATTCCGAATTTCGAGATCAGCATTTTTTCTGTTAGAAAAGTGAATCTAGTTGGTACTTTTTGGATATCGAAACCGAAATTTTTAGTTTTAGATATTAAAAAGTGTCAATAAAAAAAAAAAAAATTGTCATTTTTACCTAAAACTAAAAATTTTATTTTTTGGTGTAACTCGAAAACTAATAACCGTAGACCATTGAAGTTTTCACCAAATATTTATATTAATATTTTCAATAAATTACATTTTGGACAATTTTTACTTTTTTGAGTTAGTTATAGCCTTGAGAAATTGTTTTAAAATTATAGATTATTTTAAATTAAACATTTTTATTTGTTTAAGCCCGAATTTTTGTCTGCTGACTTTAAAAATTGCAAAAAAAGTTTTTGAGGTGTGTATTGAAAAAGATAATAAGGGGCCTCAATATTTTGGTTTTGCACACAGGCCTCAAGTAGCCTAGTTACGGCACTGGTTGACAATGTAAAACAATGTGTTGTCTTTATCTGCAACAAAGGGTATGGATAGGTCTTGATGTAGTGTGTGGTTGGAAACGAAATATGGTGCTTTAGTGATTTGTCTTAGAGTTTTAGATTGATATGTTTTTATTCTATTGATGTTAGTAGGCTTTGCTGATCCCCAGAGCTGTATACCATAGACCCATATTGGTTTTAGTAGCATTTTGTACATAAGGAGTTTGTTATTCAGATGAATATGTTTGGAGGTCAGTAGGTGTCTTAGTTGGCGGCTACGATGGTTAAGCGTTAAACGTTTGGAGCGTATATGAGGGGCCCATGTAAGCCGGCGGTCTAGGGTTACCTAGTCCAAGGTATTTGACATTTTGAGTAAATTTCTCATATAATATTTAATATAATATTATAATGTAGACCGTATAATAATACCAAAAGGAAAAACAAATGCAAGATTATTTTATTATTTTAATTTTTAATAACGAAAAAAATACAGTGAAAATTCAGAGGATTAATTAATATGTTCAGTTAATTACTTTAATTTAGTGTAATTTGATGTCAAAAATCTTCAGTATGATTTCAGTGGTTTTGTTATGTTTTCAAGTGTGTTTATAATTTCAGACTTGGCAATACTGTTTTTGTTATCACTACCTACGAATTCAGTAATCAGCACGATTAACGATATCAGTAAGTTGCTTCTGAGTTCTGCGACTTGCGAGTGGATGGCGCCTATATAGTTTTTTTACTCGTGTATTTCACATTCACATTTATGATTGTTGAGCAACAGTTCCTTTTCAAAATATTTAATATTTTATTTTAAAATTATTTCTATTTTTGGACATAAATTATCTAATTGTTATACTTATAAATATTTTAAATTTGATTAATGTACTGTTAATTAGTTATTCAAACAATATCTTCATTATACTATTATACAGTTAAAACATCATACACTATATTGGTTTAAACTACTACCTACGCTTGCTGATTACCAATGCTATTATGTCTTTGAATGACAAAAATGCTTCAGAACTTGAATTTCAACATGTTCATGATGTTCGTACATATAATACATTTACATACATTTATTATATATTTAACCCTTTCACTGCTCCATACGTACTATAACATCCAAAACATTTACATTATTCACTGCTCTAGACGTTCTATTTTATACCTGTATTTTATAATATTATCATTTGCCGGTAACCGTACAACTTTAGGAAACCCAAGCTCACATTTTTGCACTTTAAATATTTAGATCATAAACATATATGTCAAAATTAAAATTAAAAAATTATATTTTATGTAGCATACCCAGATTAAAGAGTATAAATAGTGTAGCAGTGAAAAGGTTAATATGCGATGTTACAAAGTACAAAGATTTTTTAATGGTAATTTAATTCAAACATCAATTTCAATTTCCAATGCTAATGCCCGGGTTGTATGAAAAAAGTATTAATTTAACATTTCAATAAATTTTGAAGGGCGAATCATGGGCTACTAAATTATGTTTAAGGGACCATTGCTCATTATTAATTCTTTAAATGTTTAGTGATTGTTCATGTAAGCCGCCATAAGTGTCATAGTATTGATAGGAATTTGCTGATATTACTAGATTATTAGAATGAATATAAAAAGAGATATTTACTTATGAGTTCTATTATGGCATTTAAATTTTAAATATATTTTACTTTAAATAATGGGTATATTACTTGCAATTTAATTTTTGATCTTTTTGGTTTTTATAGGTTTATGAAAATATAGCATCACATTTTAGTGAAACTCGGCAGAAACCTTGGCCGAATGTTGTTGAGTTTTTAAACAAATCTAAACCTGGTTCAATTATCTTAGATGTTGGTTGCGGAAATGCTAAATATTTTACTAATACTTCTGATATATTCCAGGTATAGTATAAATAATAATATTTTTAAATTATTCTATTATTTACATTAAATGTAATCATTTATAGTTAGGTTGTGATCGAAGTACTCAATTAGCTCAAATATGCAAAAATCGTAATCATCAAGTATTTAACTGTGATTGTCTTCAATTACCAATACGTTCGAATTGCGTGGATTTGTGTGTTAGTATAGCAGTTCTTCATCATTTGGCCACAAGCGATCGACGTTTAAAAGCTTTAAAGGAAATTAACAGAGTACTAACAGTCGGAGGCCAAGCACTTATATATGTGTGGGCTAAAGAACAGTGCAGAAATCAAAACCTATCCACTTATTTAAAACAGAGCAAGACTAATAAACCTAAGGCTGAGTCAACACCTGAAGTCACTAAAGAATTTCGTGTGGAATCAATTGACGTTAATCTACCAATACATACAAACCGTTCCAATTTTGTTCATAATGACTTGCTAGTTCCATGGAAGTTGAATCAAAAGAAAGAACAAGAAAATGAATCTAAAACACATCTAAGATATTATCATGTATTTGAAGAATCTGAATTGAAATTATTGTGTGAACAAATTGATAACTGTAAAGTGATTGATTATTATTACGATCAGGGTAACTGGTGTGTAATATTTGAAAAGATTACAGTTTAGTACTTGTATATTGTTATTATTTCTAGTACCATTGATCTACCATATTTATTGACAAAATTATTAATACTCAGTTAACTTATAATATATTTTTATATAATGGTAGGAATATAAGTGTATTTAGTAATACAGCAGATACCGTTGATTTAAATTAAAGTGTTTTTAAGTTCCTACATAAGCTATAAAGTATACCGGGTGATTCTTTTATCATTGAATATTTATTATTTCAAAAAGTATAAATGTTTTATAGGTTACATAAATTATTATTTTTTTAGTCTTAAAAAATTTATATATATATGTTATTCCTTTAGTAAGTATAATATTAAACAATTACATTTTGTTTTGTTAAAAATGTTAATGAATACATTTAAAAAAATATTTAAAGTACCTATATAAATTGAAATGACTGACGTAATTCTGACTGTGATTAATTGGTATCAATGATATTAGGTATTCACACGTTCCTCTTAATATATGGAACACTTCTATGACTATTTCATTCAACTTATTGTAGTTGTACATAATGTATAGTGTGTATGGATGTATATAGGTTTCTAAAATCTAAATAAAATATTTTTATGATCCTCGAGACCTTAAAATAAATACAGTATTTATTAAAAAAAGTTGGCTGCTCTCAATACTTGAACAATTCTATGATTGTGAAATATGATTTTGGGAAAAAAACATATTTCAAAAATTGATTCCCTACTGTTTAAAACAGCCAAAAAAATGTGCTATATACAGAGGCGTACAATATAAAGTTTCCTGTTATTGTGAGACTTTCAATTTTGAAAACTGAACCTAAGATTACAAGTTACAACACAGTCACCTTGATATACATAAATATCATAAGCATCACATTAACCTAATTCCTTTAGCCGTAGCCACCACTCTCTTGATAGAACAATATATTATAGGATGACGAGGGTCAATCAAATGGTCGTCTCGTTGAGACGGTTTTGTTAGCTATTGCAGGAATAGCTAAGACACTTTAGAGTACTACATAATATTATATATGTAATGCCATAACTAAGCTCACAAGTTTTGAAAATAATTTTGAAGTTGATCTTAAACCATCATTTAGTTTCAACTTATTTTTTTTATTCAAGTAAGAGTAATTTTGGTGTTTTTTCGGCATTCAAATGTTTTTGTCTACTTAAACATAGGTATTAAGTTATACAATTAAGTAAAATTTAGTTACAAGTTGCTGGTAATGTTGTTTCAATAAAAGCTCTTAGCTAAATAATATAATAATATATAGAAAACAAGGTATTGACAACTAGTGAATTTGTCAAACTGCAGACAATGTGATACTAACTTTCAATACCTTGAACATCCTGACCTAATCTTTGTGTTAAGAAGATGTCACATCCGCATGTGTTGTCTCCGTCTTACAAATGTACAACATAGCAAAAATTGTTTTGAGCGGGACAACTTTTCTCGCACCATATTTGTTGTAGAACTACCAAATTTTCACAACACATAAAGAAGAACTTTATGTGTGCAACAGCGTGCTCTTTTCTTTCATAGCACCATCCAATCATTTTTTATAAGCAATTGAAAAGACAAAATGTTTAGAAGCAAATAACTTTTATTGTATTTATGTTTCTAAAATATGTTGCACAGATAAGGTTCTTTTTTATGTGCTGTTAAAATTTGGTAGTTATACAAGAAATATGGTGAGAGAAAAGTTGTTCCGCGCAAAACTGTTTTTTGCTATGTTGTACATTTGTAAGACGGAGACAACACATATGGGTGTAACATCCTCTAAAGAGTTAGACAATCCCCAATTACTTTATCAATTAGAATATACTGTTCATATGAAAATAATAGTGACATGAACTAAACTAAGGTGCTCTGCGACTGTCGTACATTTAGTTATTAACTTCTTATTTTAATTCCAACAGTACGTCACAATGCAACTAGTTAAGGATCACCATTTTTTTGTGGAGAATGTATATTTACCTTACACTAAGCACCCATATATTTATAGAATAAATTACTTAATAAATAACCATTTCTCGTGGTTAAATATTATGTATGTATTCATAATGCATGTAAAATATTATACGGAATCTCTTAGAATCAACCTATCGTGTTATATCGTAATAATCCGATTATGTACTTTATTATTCATATAATTTATTTTAAATATGTATAAACTCTTAATAAAGACTATCGACAATAAAGTCCTATTTGCTTATTAATTAATTTATTAATGCATTAATATCATAACTTTTTATATTAAAATCAAGTCTTGCGTTTGATATATTAGTTACATACATTTTTTTAAGATACAAAATAAAAATTTAAGTTATGCGTATAATATAAACTAAAATAAGTTTTACTTGGTTTTTAAAATAAAAAAATTAAATATAAATTATAACATAACTTTCAAATTGATTGATTACAAAAAGTCATTTAATCTTTTAATTGTATTACATACTTACATAAAATGAGATAAAAAATTTAAATATAAAAAAAATACCTAAATAAAAGTAATTGTAGTTTTAGCTTGATTCACCTGCCACACATTAAGCATTTCATATTCTTCAATACAATCATCAACTAGTGATGTGTTGAATCCTTTACTCGTACAATATTCTCTAATGTCAGACATTTTGACAACAGTTCGTCCTCCAGCTAATTCTCTTATTACGTTGAATATACGGTCCACAACACTTTGAGGTCTAAAAACAAATTTGTTATTTTATCAAAATTCTAGGGTAAAATTATTTGTAATTAATATACCTTCCAGTTTTTTCATCAGTCTGCATTAAAGACATTTTAGACATTTCTAAAAGTCTCATAGCTTCAACTACATCCTCACGTTCCACCAAATCTGATAATCTAAGCTTAGCTAAAGCTGTAGATATTCTAAGTATAGCCAAAAGATTTCTTGCCGAGGTAAATGTTGTATCGCCGTTGTTACGTGAATCTTTACGCAAGTCAACATATGAATTGACAAGAAATTCTGTAAGCTCTACAGGAACAGTAGGAGTTTTCTTTTTACACAAATCAATGTAACGACGCATTAAACTCATATCCAATGCTTGTACTTCAGATGGCGGTTGACAACTATGCTTATGAACATATGTGATATGTTGAGCCAACCTAATCAAAGCACAATGTATTAATGTAATTTACCAATTTATAATAATAATAATTAATGTTATTAATTCTATGGGTTTAAGTAATATTACTTAAGATCATTTTCACGATTGGGTTTGTCTTGAATCAACCACAACAAATCAAAACGAGAAAGCAAAGCTGCTGGAAGTTGGATATTGGCTTCAATTGAACGTTTAGGATCATATCTTCCATAAGCAGGATTGGCTGCAGCCAATATACTCACACGAGCATTCAAACGTGTCATTATTCCAGCCTATTTTAAATTAAATTAAATTAATGATATTAATATACAAATTGTTTTTTTGAAAAATATACTTTGGCAATTGAGATGGTTTGTTGTTCCATCACTTCATGAATAGCAGTTCGATCAGACTCTGCCATTTTGTCAAATTCATCAATGCAACATACACCTTGGTCAGCTAATACAAGAGCACCACCTTCTAGGACCATTTCGTTGGTTAAAGGATCCTTCATCACAGCGGCAGTGAGACCTACACCTGAAGAACCTCGACCAGTAGTATACTGACTACGACGAGCAAGACGTTCAATATAGGAGAGCAATTGAGATTTTGCTACACCAGGGTCTCCCATCAAACAAATATTAATGCTTCCTAATAAGTGAAGAATCAAAATTACTTAGTAATATAATAATATAAGATTTGTGAATGTTTTTTAAAATTTATAGCTCTGTCTTATTAGACACATATTTTATGAATTACTTTTTATAGTTTAGCCAGTTTAACATAGACATTTAATGCTTAGCAGATCTTGTTTAGCTCAGTTAGTTTAAAAAATAGAATGAATTTACCTTTTTTAAAATATAAAGGTAAGATTATTATTTAGGCAGTGTCATAAGCTTTTATTATATTTTAATTTTAAAGCGAGTTATGAGTATTTTAAAATTGTAAATTGTTTGTGCAACTCAAAATACTCGCATTAAAATAAAAATATAATAAAAATCCTATAACATTGCCTAGAAATCTTACCTTTAAATTTTTTAAGATGTCAATTCAAGGACATGTAAACAATATCAGTAAAAATAACCAATTTAATAATATAATATGGTAAAATTAATACTATTAAGACAACAAATTTTTACCTCTAATTTTCATCCCATCAGGTGCTCTATCTACACCACCAACTAAAAGTAATAACAAGGCTTTTTTTACGTCTTCGTGGCCATATATTTCTGGTGCCAAACTTGCAGCTAATTTTGTATAAAAGTCATCACCAGCCAATTCCAAAACTTCTTCTTCGGATAGTTCACCTTCTCCAAGTTTTTCTTCATTTAGTTTATTTAAACATTCAATATTCTAAAATCCATAATAAAAACAGTTGATTTAGTTATTAGTTGTTACATATATAATATCATTCAATTTTCATATTAAATTTTATTAAAAATAAACATATTTGTATCTATAATATAAGACATTTAATGTTTTAAATTATTAATGGCATAGTTGTAACACAATTGTGGTTAATATAGTTGTACCTATATACAAATTTAATTTAATTACATTTTTGATAGTATTATTTTTACTAATAGTTATTGTTCAATAATAAAAGAATTATTCTTAATTTATTCTTTATAATCAGAGACCGAATTATATATACTAAAAAGGTGTTAAATATAATTCAAATATGCATGATGAATTTAGCAAAGTATGTTCCTATATTCACAAAAAATTCAAAATATGCAGTATATGCATTTAACATTTTTACCACAATAAATCAAAAGTTTATAAATTAAATATAAGTAAACTGTATCGTCAAATTATTTCTGTAATACAATAAATGTTTTCCACAAAATCAAATTTGGTTTTTGGTATAACTCCAAAACAAATGAACGTATGTGCATGAAATTTTCACAGATTGTTTAAATTCACACTATCTATGAACGTTCAACTTTCAAAAATATTTAGATTTGTTTTGAACTATTTAGGAACATTTTCGGTTTTCCAATTTTTTTTAAAAGCATTTAAAATTCAAATTTTGACAAATTTTATCAAATTTTATAGCTAAGGATTGAAATTTTAAAACAAGATTTCACGTAAATAGGCAGTGGTCGGGACGCTATTAGTTTATTGTAGCACGCTAATGCTACAGCTACTCCCCCAAAAAAATAGCTCGCTACTTCTAACGCTATTATCTAAATGTAGAGCGCTACTTTTTCGCTACATTTTTAAAAATTTTCTTAAAAATTAGTGTTTGTAGATTGTACTGATTTGACATAATTTTGGTCACTGGACAGGACCTGGGACAAAAACTTCACTTACACACTCATCATTAATCATTATCATAACTGATATTTTAATAATCACCAATTAGATTGTAGGTAGGGACAAAATTGAAAATAATAATCATTTTCGCTACACCAACCGGAAATGTTTAGAGCACTATAGTATTTCGCTATCTAAGGCGTAGTGTACCTGCTACGTCAATTGCTACAAATAAAGTAGCGTGCTATTGTAGTGTCACTACAATTAGGGTGCTACTCCCGACCACTGTAAATAGGTTGTATATAAATTACTTTATTCACAATAATATCATCAAATATTACTTAGTAATATCATAGGCTTGCTGACCGTATTCGCTCATATTAAAATATCATTGAATTCAAATTTAACACTATCCATTACAGCGACTCACTTGTAACCTACTGTACAGCAAAGCGACATCCACTTACCCACCTTTTTCATTATAACAACTTATTTCAAAATATTGCTTTTAACTTTTAAGAGATTAAAAATTATATTAAATTTTACAAGATTATAATTGTTTTATTAAAATTGTAAAGATTTATAATCTAGGTTACTCACATGGGCTTCAAGAAAAGTATCAGATAATAAACCTTGCTGAATTTGTCGGAATCCAGAACGAACCAAAGGTAAAAATATACCAGTTACAGATATGTGGTCTCCGGGTACTGCTTGCCGTGTAGCTTCACCTCTACATAACACAGTTAGTGAACGTGGAATATTACCTATTGGAACTTGATCACTCTAAATAAACCCATAAAATATATTTAACTTATATAATATTACACCTCTATTTTAATAAAAATTAATTTACTAGTTCTTGAATTTTGAGTTCTTGAAATTTTATGAATTTAGATCCTCTAGTTTGTAAGTACAAGCGACTACCTGGTTTATTAGCTGAACATTCTGCACTTGGACAGAATTCTAAAGGTTTGAAAGTCAGTGAATTTACCTATTAAACGTAATAGAATTAATATTTAAAGTAGAAAAATTATAATAAAAATGTAAATACATACTGGTTGATATGTTTCCCCACCACATAGATCACAAGAGTAAGTAGCAACTACAACCATAGGTTTTACTTCTGTACTTCTCATGACTATTCCACGCACAGATATTAATCTACCAATGCTATTAGCTTTCACATCACGTATAGGTAATTCTTTTTTAGTGCTTAGATCTTTAAAGTATATTTCACTAAAACATAACAAAACAAAAAGATAAAATAATATTTTTGATAATACTGACATCAATATCTTACAATCTTCGCATTAGTTCTGGAGGATATCTATTTGTAGGAGCAACATTCTCATCAGCTTGTATCATCCTTTGTCTTTGCTGGGCTAATATTCTGTGTTGAATATAAACATCCAAAGCATCTTTGTTTTCAGGCTTAAATAAAAAGAAATGGATAATTTAAGAATTCTTTAAGAAATATTTCATAATTGAGTAGTTATTAGTTTACTTACTTCATGGTCTTTGTAACTTGGTAATAGATCTTGCACAACATCAGCTATCATGGAAGAGTACCGACGACAATTGGCAGACACAGCATCGGCCAACGAGTTGTCAAAGTGGTCTAAATCGTCGAGTTCGATGTGCAAAGACACCTATAAAATAAACAAGAGCATTATGACACATAATGTTGTGACGTTAATCAGTTCACTTACCTGTTCACGATGTGCGAGTTTGGCCAACTGTACAGCATACTTGGCATGATTCTGGTTATTCGTGTCCAACGTCTTATAGTTTTGCAGGAATTCCGTGAGTTTCGCTGCAAATAAGACGGGGAATGTTAGGTATATCGCAAGCAGGAGTAGGTAAAAAAAACAGAAAACGAGAAGATTTTTTTTTACCTTTGTCGGCTTCGTAGTTCCTGAATCCAGCTTTAGCCATGATTTCGAGTCTCAGCTATAAATTGTAAAATTTGTAATACTACAGTATTGACTGTTGGGTTTGAAAAAAGACTGACAGTAAACGTAACGTTATTTGTAACGACTTGTGAATCGCAGAAAAAAATCGGCGGCAAACGTGTTGCCACTCGTAGTGTCGGAACTCGGGATTTGTGAAGTCGGAAGTTGGATAACCAGAGGCAGATAACGGATAAAACACGCACGGCGATTGGCTGTGGTAGAGTGGAACACCAGTGGATCTACGACTGCTTTGTGGGTAAACAAAAAATTGGCGGGAAACTTGCAGCAGCTGATTAGTGCACTCAAGCCGACATATTATTATTGTTTCACCTTGGCACCATAACCGCGGTAACAGCTACATGCTTCAACAACAACGACGTGCCACTGTGCCAGTGTTGTGCCCGAATCGATGTGATAACCATGACCAAGCTCACATTTTGGTAAAATTCAGTTAGCAACACTGTTTTATTCAAAATTCTCCAGGAATCACAGATATAATAATATTAAAAAAAGGTGCTCTGCTGTACAGTAGGTTACAAGTCAGTGGCGTGGCGTGGGTATTAAAAATATGTAAGCAGTGAAATTTTTTTTCAAAAGTGATTAGAATATAGGTACTATACCTGAATACCTAATTAGTAATTATAAATTATGTATAAAAAAATGTAATTAAGAGAAAATAAAGAAATTGAAGTATAAATACTTCAAAATTCTATTAGGCGAATGACAGTGACAGTGTACGTAAAAACGACTACAGTCTACAACGCGTCGCTCCTTGTTTCTCGCGTAAGCAAAATCAAATGTGCTTACAAACCACTACCAGCTATAACTTAAATATTTTATAAATAAAATTAAAATTTTAAAAATCATTTATTATGTACATATTAGTCGTGATTGATCAAATTTATTTTTTCTTTCATTTAAAGTGTAAGCAATGCTTACAGACTACAGTGCTTACATGCACGCTACGCCCCTGTTACAAGTGGGTCACTGTATAGTGTATAATGGATGGTTTTAAATTTGAATTCAATGATATAATATCATTGTATAAGAAAAACGATTCTGAGCGGAGACGATATGTCAGTCTAGGTATAACAGACATATTATAATTAGTTTTTTGTGTCTCCTGAAAAATTTACATTTTGGAGATACGTGGTATTGTTTTGGCAACGACTTATCTATGGTATTAAAAAAAATTGATCTATAATAGGTACCCCTATAATAAATTCCAAATTAATTATATTACAATAACCATTAGGTAAACTTATAATGCGTTATACATCAACAACAAACCCTGATACTATCATAGTCCATAAATATATAATAGTGTACTTTAGAAGTTTCAAGTACACACGAATGATATTATACAATCACAACAAAATAACTAAAATAGTTATTCTATGTTTTTTATTTTGTAATTTCGTCCAAATTTGAACTTAAAATGACTATAAAAATAACCTGTGCTTATTTATTTTTTAGAGTTTTTGGTAACATAATTAACTATACTTACGTGGAATCTTGTTTTATTTTTTCAATCCTTAGATATAAAAGTTGAACATTTTATAAATTATTAATTACAAAATAATTATTAAATTTTGAACATTCGATCTTTAAATGCTTATAAACAAAAAATGTGCATGTGTATTTTAAATATTTTTCAGCTGATATTGTAACAGTATATAAGGAGTCTTGTATTAAATTTTTACACATTTTGGACCAACGGATAAAACTTGATTGATATTTATAGAAAAAAAAACTAAAAAAATTGAAAACTGAAAATGTCCGTAAACAGCTCAAAGAGAGTCAAAATATTTTCAAAATTGTATGGTAGATAGAAAATGAAAATATAAACATTTAGTGAAATTTTCATGTATCTACTATCTACAGTTATTAGTTTTTTATTACAATAAAATAAGGAAATCGCAACATGAGAAATCAAGTGAATATCCAACGTTGTAAAAATCTGAATTTCAAACGCTCATAAAAATTTATTTTGACTTTCTTATAGACATTTTTTTTTTTTTGATAAAGGTAGATAATCTTATTACGAATCTTGTATTACATTTTAAACCCTTAGGTTGAAAAAGAAAAAGTTTTACGAATTCTTAACTCAAAATAATTTGCTAATTTTCATGATTTTTCCATATTTTGTCAATTTTTGAACTTTAAATGCTTATAAAAATAACTGATTTTTAATATTTTTCATCTGCCTTTGAAACAATATATTAGGAGCCTTCTATTAAATTTTCAAGCATTTTAACCAACAAATAAAATATTATTGATATTTTTAGAAAAAAAAACTAAAAAAAAATGAAAATGTTTCTAAACAGTTCAAACAAATCATAATATTTTGAAATTTTCATCGTTTATAGAAAATACAAATATTAACAACCAGTGAAATTGTCATGTATATACATTCATTTGTTTTAGAGTTATACCAAAAACCAAAATCGATTTTGTGGAAAACCGATTTTTTCGTAAAAATTCCAGCTTTTCCTTAATTTTTATGTTGTTTTTCCCGGCGATTGTGAAAACTATTGGCAATTTGATCTCCCGAATGTACCAACTAGATTCACTTTCCTATCGAACACGATACTGTTGAAGAAAATCGAAGCAGTTTTACTGCCCCAAACCGTGATGACAGACACAAAAAAAAAAATTAAAAAAAAAAAAAACACACATTGCAAAATAATCGTTTCACTCTGAATCTAAAATAATATTAAAACAGAAAGTCCGAAGGTCGCTAAGGGTACGCCTGTCGCCAACCTATTCAGTCGCTCTGCTGTACAATATAGGCACTAGTCACTAATAGTCACTTATAGTCAGTAATTTACAAGTGGATCACTGTAATGATATAAAATCATTGTATACCTACGAAAGACGATTCTGAGAAAAGACCAGCCTATAATATTAGTTACTACTAAGTATATTTGATGATATTATTGTGATTAAAGTATCTAATATATTTTATAGATTTTTCGGTTACAGCTTATGAGTTATGAACTATTTATGAAAATTCTTGTTTTAAATTTTCAATCCTTAGCTATAAAAGTTGAACATTTTAGAAACCAAGTGATTTGTACATTTTCAATTTGATAAATTTTGAAAAATTTAAACTTTAAATAGGTATTTACTTATAAAAAAAAAACGTGCTCATGGATCTTTATTATTTCTCATCAGCTATTATAACTACATATTAGGAACCTTGTAATCATTAAATTTTTGGCTATATCCGAGTTCGGCCTGGGATTGTTTTAGATACTACATAAGTTGGGTTCCAGGTTTTTTCAGCTACTATAGTACCTACTAGTAGCTACTAGTTGGGTCCTGAATTATTTTAGGTACCTATTACACACCACCTATTTGGGCCTCTCATAGTTTTTGGTGAGTACTATAATAAACTAACATTTTTCTTCCTATTTTCAAACCTTAGATTTAAAAAGAAAAATTTTTATGAATTCTTAACTCAATTTAATTTGCTAATTTTCGTGATTTTTCCGTGTTTTGTTAAGATTTAAACTTTAAATGCTTATTAAAAAAAACTGTCACAGTCACAGTACAATGACATATAAGATACACTCTGTATACATAACTATAGGTTGTAAAAAAAATTACTAAAATAAATAATTATTAATAAAAATATATTATTATTCCAAATTAATTGTATGAAAATAGGCTGATCTGTTTCCGCTCAGAATCATTTTTTGTACACAATGATATTATATCATTGAATTCAAATTTAACACCATCATTTACAGTGACCCACTTAAATCACTATAATTTCATTCAAATGTATCTAACACATACATTACAGCATCCTATTCAATTACGATGGACACTTGACTCCTACTGTATAGCGGTTACCTACTCCCTCTTTTTTTGTTTAGAGTTCCCTAACTTTAGTCTGTGTCGTAATTCATAAATCACAAATACAAACATGAAATTTTATTTGACAGCTATTAAACAAAAGTCCACATGTGAAATAAACATCAGTAATGAATATTGCTAAAAAAAAATAGTAGAAACTTACATAAGTTAGTATTACTCTAATAATATATAATGGGCTAAACCATATTAAAACCTCAATTTTTTCCATGCACGTTTTAGATGACGATATATTATTTTAAAATTAAAAAGAAGTTTTTGAAAAATATATCATAAATTATAATAATAATTATTATTATTATAATTTATGCTATTATAGCATTTTTAAATTCTCATCGGTATACGATTTAAATTTATTTATTTTTTTAAATTTGTATCATGAATGTTAAAAAGATTGCAGTCACTGTGTTCTATATTATGGTATGTGTCTATTAATTACTTCAAAGTTTATTTAGAAAAAGTAAGCTGTTGTTTTACAAATAGCTATTTATTATTATTATATTACTAAAGAGTAAAGTATAATAGGTATGTCTTCCTAGATAAATTGAAATTTGAAATAGTTACTATTATATATTTAGGTATGAATTTATTTTAATTTTACTAGAAAACTCAGATAATTGCTGTAATTAAAAAAAAACAATGATTTTAATTCTTGATAAATTTGGTAAATAAATATAAACATTAAATATTTCAAATTAACAAAATTATTTATATCGCACCAATATAAAATGTATTGTAAGATACGCGAATAAATACATATTTAAATATTTTTCATTTAATTTGTGTTTAAAATAACAAATACCATAATATACTATTTGTTAAGTTAAAAAGGAATTTAATTTATATAGGTACTAAATGGATATCATGCACTTATTTATCCATTCGATTACGCACCTAAGTTATGCAAAAACTCTACGGAAGTAACGTTCGATTTTATAGTGGTTGGAGGAGGAAGTGCTGGTGCAACTGTGGCTGCTCGTTTAAGTGAAATAGCCGAATGGAAAGTTTTACTATTAGAAGCTGGAGGCGATCCACCGGAATCAACTGAAAATCCTCTTTTATGGAACCAAAATCTAAGGACAAAATATGACTGGGCCTTTTTGTCGGAGAAAAACCCTTTACTTTTTAAAGGAATGGAACAAGAGAGGTGTCTTCTATCTAGGGGTTGTATGTTGGGTGGATCATCTTCAATTAATGCAATGATATACTTGCGTGGTACTGTACAGGATTTTAGACTATGGAAAAATAAGTATGGTTGTCATGGATGGGACTATGAAGATGTTTTACCGTATTTTAAAAAATCAGAAGATTTTGTAGATGTTAGTAGATATAATTCAGAAATTCATTCACGAGGAGGACCTCTGACTGTAACTCCTTTAGAAACATTAGATCCAGCTTATAAGGTTATCGCTGAATCAGAAGAGTCAATAAATTTAATTAAGGTTAATGATTTAAACAGAAAAGAACCTGTTATCGGATATGGTAATTTTGATTCAACCACTCGTGATGGCCGTCGATGTAGTACACTAAAAGCATTTTTAATACCAGCAAGTAATCGCCCTAATCTTTTCGTAGCGAAAAATACAATTGTGACTAGAATTTTAATTGAAAATGATGTGGCAGTGGGAGTAAACTTCAAATGTTCATCAGAAGAAATTAAATCAGTTTTTTGTACAAAAGAAGTGATATTATGTGCTGGACCTTTAAAAAGTCCACAGCTTCTCATGCTCTCTGGAATTGGACCCAAAGAACATTTAAAATATCACGGTATTACAACCATCAAAGACCTACCAGTAGGTTTCAACATACAGGATCATATGTCACTTCCAGCATTAGTTTTTACAGATCGAAAATGTAGACCAACTGAAGATATTATAAATGAGAGTAAGGATTTGTTGCAAAAAGAGATGAGCTTTTATTCAAAAAATATAACATCACTTGGCCTTAGTAAGCTTATGACATTTTTTAAGTCAAATGACGATTTAGAGTATCCTGATGTACAAATTTTAAAATTCAGAATTCCATTCAACTCAACAAATTGTTTTCCAAATAAAATTAATGTATTAACAAACATGTTTGGATATGCTAAAGAAGTAACAGATTTATATGACGAATTAAACTGGTTAAGTGACCTTATAGTAATGACACCAGTTTTGTTACATCCATTAAGTACAGGTCGAGTTATGTTGAAATCTGTAAATCCGTTAGACGACCCAAGAATTATTTTAAATTATTTATCATATGGCAAAGAAATAGAAACCCTATTAAAGGGTATTGAATTTATTGTCAAATTATCTAAAACTAAAAGTATGATTGATGCTGGGCTTGTATTAGAGGAGCTAAAATTATCAAATTGTGCCGATTGTATTTGGGACACTCGAGAGTATTGGATTTGTATCATTCATAACTTAGCAGTTCCTTTTTATCATGTTATTGGTGGCTGTAAAATGGGTCCAGAAGATGATTGTTATTCTGTTGTTGACACTAAATTAAAACTGAAAGGAATAACTGGCTTGCGGTTGATCGATAGTTCAATTATGCCGAAAATTGTTTCTGTAAACACTAACGCAGCTACAATTATGATTGGTGAAAAAGGAAGCGATATAATAAAAGAATGTTATGGAAAGCTTTGATGAATAAAACATACATTTAAGAATCAATAATAATTGTAATTAAATTTACTACATGATAGAAATTGTTTATTTTATATAAGAAATTATTAATTTAGGTTTGTTCTATTATCAATAAATGTTCTTTTAAATATAGCATCATTATTTGAAAGAAAATTATGTACCAATTTTTACACGATTATTATTGTTTATTTCGTTATTTAAATTAGTTTAAAATAAAAATTGATAGTTAAAAATGTTATATTAAATTACCTATAAGAAGTACAAACTATTAAAATATGTATTTTGTACTTCAAATAATTAAATTTTAAAAATTTAAAAATATATTTATTATGAACAAATTATTTTTATTTATCTTATTAAGTTCAAAATATCCACCATCTCTATCATCTTCACTAGGAATGTTTTGCTATATTATGTGATGCATTTTTTTACTCATATAAAATATGTACCAGATAATTATGTAAGGGGGTTTCCAAAATAATAATGCAAAATATTCAATACTCAAACCACCTGTGACGTACCTATATAGAAAAATAGAATCGTAAATAATCATTAGAATCATAAACTCCTATTTGACAACTTTTGAACACATGTTGACATGTCACTAGTTGTACTAACTACTATTAATGAGTAATACTAACTAGTACCTAAGTAATGAAAAATGATTTAATAGTTGAAACTTCAAATTATAATAATATGTTAATATGATAGGTATTTCATTAATATTACAATCGTCAAAACAATATGGTTTTAACACACATCATTATAAAATAAATGTATACATTCATCACTCCACTCATAATCTATTGAAGCTTCAAGGTCGGTTGACAATTGTGTGGTATTTCATATGTCAAATAAGATGATATTATGATTTATTTTGTATCGTATTTCATTATTTCTAATCATGTTGTTTAAAAAAAAAAAAATATTTTGTATAAGTCATTTTGCATTTACTATTTTATTTGACCAATAAAAAAAATATTATTCCTAATACATTTTGTATAATAAATGAAATGTTTTGCCAACCGACAAAATGGCGGCCGTCCACAGCTGAACTTCACTTGTAACAATTTAAATTGTATAGGAGTTCCTTATCTAGTGTAGTATAGAAGTATGTGCTTTAAACTAATGAAATAAAATCACTAATCAACATTAAATAATATCAGAACGCGTATACCCATAATATACTCGTATACATCCTTTTATATTCTATTTTTACCACTTTTACAATTTATTCTTAGTTTCTACTTTTCTCTTTATATTTTAGTATTTTTATAGAGAGTCATAAGTGTGTTAAAATAGGAAGAAAAATGTTAGTTTATTATAGTACTCACCAAAAACTATGAGAGGCCTAACTATAGTGTAATAGGTGCCTAAAATAATTCAGGACCCAATATTACAATCGTAAAAACAATATGATTTTAACACACATCATTTTAAAATAAATGTATACATCCATCACTCCACTCATAAGTCATAATCTAAAAAAAGAATTTGGAGAATATACTTATAGGTATGTGATAATAGTGTATTCATTTAATTTGTATAACATATAATTTTATTTTAATTTTTTGGTATTATTCTAATGTATGTTAAAATTATAGCAGTCATTATGTTGTATAATATATTAATATGGTATGTATATCTGTATTAATTAATATTTGTTTTGTACTTATAAGAAATAAAATATATTATTATAAATTGTATAAAAGTGTATATTTACTTAAAGCAAACTATTTTTTTACTAGTAACAATCGCTATAAATCATTACTTTATAACTCACTTAAAGACGTTTGCATAAAAAACATTTCGGGATTAAAAAAAAACTGTGCAAGTGGGTACCGCTCTGCTGTACATAGTACATTAGATGTACTGTGATCTGTGGCCTGTGGGTCACTGTGATAGGAGGGATAAATTTGAATTCAATGATATAAAATCATTGTATAGGAAAAATATTCCGAGTGATGGAGATTATGCTATATTATTAAACAGGTATATTTTATGAGGTTATTGATATTAAAGTAATGTAAACGTTGCATTTAAAAATGTGATTGTGTATACAAAATATAACAATATACTTAAAAAGTTTCAAGTACACACATATAATTGTGTGTATTTTTGAGCTGGCACTATAACAACCTTATGAGTTACCTTGCACTAGATTTTAAAACTTTTTAACCCTGCAAAAGTTTTTAATTGATATCATTATTCCGAATATAAAAAAAAAAATGTCTATAAGAAAGTCAAATTAAATTTTTATGAGCGTTTGAAATTCAAATTTTTACAACATTGGATATTCACTCGATTTCTCATATAGCGATGTCCTTATTTTGTTGAAATTCAAAAACAAATAACTGTAGATACATGAAAATTTCACTGATTAATAACTCAGAAACTAGTCATTAGAATTTTGATTTAAATACATAAACATTTTCAATACCGTTAAATAATTTGTAGTAAAAATGGGGGCTTCTGTTAATCTCATTAGACAAATAGTAGTTTTTTATTGCCACAAGACACTCCTTATAGACCTTTTAGGTTGTACACAAAATATAAGAAATTTGAAAATATGGTCTTAGTTGTAAAGTTGAGCTTAAATTTTTTGAGTCTACATTTTTATGATTGCGTGAAGTTATTAAGGATTCGTCAAAATTACGTAAATGTGCAAATTATTTTTCAGGTAAGAAACATAAAGTACGTAAGCTAAAGTACCTAACACAAACGTTGTTTAAAAAACAGTTATCAATCCCTTTCCCAGTTAAAACTAACTAATTTTAGATTCTGAGTGGAAAGATGAATGTATTGATTTTACAATGATGTGTGTTTTTTATTTTTTTTATTTTTATTTTTTTTGTGTCTGTGTACACGATAAGTAGTCGAAATAATGCTTGGATTTTCAACTTCAGTATCTTGTTCGATTGGAAAGTGAATATCGTTGGTGCATTGGGGAGGTAAAATTAAAATTTCCAGGTAGTTTTCAAAAGCGCCGGGAAAAACAAAAGAAAAATTAAGGAAAAACGGGAATTTTTACGCAAAATCTGTTTTCGAGAAAATCGATTTTGGTATATTTGTTCTATGAAATTTCTATACACGATTACATTTTCAAAATATTTTGATTTATTTTGAACTGTTTAGGGACATTTTCATTTTCCAATTTTATTAGTTTTTTTTTTTATGAATATCAATAAAAATTTATTTGTTGAGTAAAAATTCTTGAAAATTTAATACAAGGCTCCTATTGTATTGTTTCAAAGACAGATGAAAAATATTAAAAATCGTTAGTCACAGTTTTTTTTTTTTAAGCATTTAAAGTTCAAAAAATGACAAAATATGGAAAATTCACGAAAATTTGCAAATTATTTCGAGTTAGAAATTCATAAACATTTTTCTTTTTAAATCTAAGATTTGAAAATCTAATACAAGATTACTCATAAGTTTGTCTACCTTTATCAATAAAAAAATCTCTACCGGAAAGTCAAATTAAATTTTTATGAGCGTTTGAAATTCAAATTTTTACAACATTGGATGTTCACTCGATTTCTCATGTAGCGATTTCCTTATTTTGTTGTAATTCAAAAACGAATAACTGTAGATACATGAAAATTTCACTGAATATTCATATTAGCATTTTCTATACACTGTACAATTTTTAAAATATTTTGACTTTTTTTGAGCTGTTAACGGACATTTTCAGTTTTCAATTTTTTTAGTTTTTTTTTTCTATAAATATCAATAAAGTTTTATCTGTTGGGCCAAAAAGTGTAAAAATTTAATACAAGGCTCCTGATATATTGTTACAATAGCAATTGAAAAATTTTAAAAATACATAGGCACAATTTTTTTTTATAAGCATTTAAAGATCGAATTTTGACAACATTTATCAAAATCTCGAAAATTATCAATCATTGTAATTAATAAATTATAAAATGTTCAGTTTTTATAGCTAAGGATTGCAAATTTAAAACAAAGGTTCTCATAAATAGTTCATACTGTAACCAAAGAATCTAAAAAATATATGAACACAGTTATTTTTTACAGACATTTTAAATTCAAATTTGGACGAAATTACATAATAAAAGACCTAGAATAGGTAACTATTTTAGTTATTTTATTGTGATTGTAAAATATTTTTCGTGGGTACTTGAAACTTCTAAAGTATACTACTATATATCTATGATAGTATCAGTTTTTGTTGTTGGTGTATAACGCGTTATAAGTACCTAATGGATATTGTGATATGATTAATTTGGAATTCATTTTTTTTTTTTTTTTTTTTTTTTTATTTAGAAAATAAGGCTTCGACATCACAGGTCATTAGCCTAGCTTGAATTAAGAGTACAAGACAAAATATATTATGGCTTAATGACTACGGAAAGGGTTTTTACATTGTTAAAGTTTGTTTATGAGGTGGATTTGAGTAAAAAAAGAGATAATTTTAATAATATTATTTTCGTTTAGTGCTTCATCCATATTCGGTGGTATAGCTAGATTGTTTCTTGCGTCCCTGTACTTTGAGCAATCCTGGATGATATGTTGAATTGAGAGGTCGGCGTGGCATTCGTCGCAGGTGGGAGGTGGGTTTTTGTAGATGAGAAAAGCGTGGGTTGTGAAGGAATGTCCGATTCTGCATCTTGTGATGGCAACTTCCTGGCGTCTGTTGAGGAAGTACGGTGGGTTCCACTTTTTTGTGTCTTTCTTGACTGATTTAAGCTTGTTGGTAGGAGGAATAGCATCCCAATGATTTTGCCATCTAGCATATATTTTACGTTTGATGGATGATTTAATGTCATTAGTCGGTAGGTCGGAAATTGTTGGGTGGAGGATAATTTTGGTTGCAAGGTCAGCTGCCTTGTCAGCCATTTCATTGCCAGTAATACCAATGTGTGATGGAACCCACATAAATTCGATGTTTTTGGTGGATGATTTGAATATTATTTGGATATTTTGGAATTCATTATAGGTCAATTTTTTTTAATACCATAGATAATATGTCTTATACCTAGAAGGACATACCGTCTCCGCTCAAAATCGTTTTTCTTATACAATGATATAATATCATTGAATTCAAATGTAATACCATCCATTTCACAGTGACCCACTCTTAACCTACTGTACAGCAGAGCGACACCCACTTGCCCACCTTTTTTATAACTAAGATATAATATGATATTTTTTAAGCTAAAAAGTAATTTAGTTTATCTAGGTACTAAATGGATATCATGCACTTATTTATTCATTTAATTACGCACCTAAGTTATGCAAAGACTACGAAAGTAACATTCGATTTTATAGTAGTGGAAGGCGGGGTTCCAGTGCAACTGTAGCTGCTCGTTTAAGTGAAATACCTGAGTGGAATGTCCTACTATAAAATATGCTTATGTCTACACTATACTAGTATTTTCAATTTTGTATTTATAATAATCTATGATAATTGATAATACATATTAATTTTGTATTATTGGTCACTTTACTTTGGTCATTTACAAATTACAACAGAGTGTTAGACACTATTATTGAAAGCATGAATAAACGGTTTTCAAATAATAATGATTTGTTAATTTAAGGTTAATTCTTAGTTGAACAACCACCGTCATATGGCGTCTTATAATAAATCTTAATGTCCAGACTTGTAAGTACAATAAAATAATAATAATTTCAGATACGGATTGTTATACAAATCTTATGAAAAGTCTTATGAAATATATGAAATCTAATTAAATTAAATAAACTTTAAAAAAAGTGTGTAAGTGGATGTCACTCTGCTGTACAGTAGGTTACAAGTGGGTCAATGTATAATGGATTGTATTAAACTTGAGAGTTGAATTCAGTTTGTCAGTCTGGATTTTTTATATTGTTATTATTTCTTATAGCCTGTAAGTTGAATTAATATTATAATATTATCATTTTTTATTCGTTGCTTTTGGGTGTTATTCAAAGTACTAGAAATTAAAATCCCATTTTTCGTAATATGTATCCATAGTTTTTCTAGTGGCATTGAATAAATATTGCGAAAATCGAAAAATGACCTCTTAAAATTACCATCTTGATCCAATTTTCTAAAATATAACGTACTATGTATTGAAATCAAAGCACTCATTTTGGTAGAACTTTTGTGTACAGGATAAAAAAAAAACACCATTGTAAGACCACTAGCTTCCTCGCTCCGCTCAGAATCTAAAAGTTTACGAATTATTAAACACGATTGGTCTGTAATGACAATCATTTCTTAAATAATAGGGCACAGCCCGAAGTTTTTCATGCAATTTCGGATTCACTTACTAATTGAACATATTATTATGTGGATCTTTACCTACCTATCTATACTTATTTGGTGATAATATTTCAATATAATTAGAATAAAGAAAAATTAATTATTTGTTATACAATATGTTGGTATTCATCTTAAAAAAAATAAAATTAATAATATGAAATCATACATATTAAGTTAATATTAAAATTCAAATTTGACTTTAAACTCAAGTACGATTAATTGGGTTGCATAATGACTTATTTCCTCGTTATGGATGTAGTTGACCGATTATGGTTTTCGAATATTTATCAATTAATTTATTGGTTTTTTTGTGTTGTTATAGTTCTGATTAAATGTTGATATAATAAACATATTTTCCTAAATTAATGTGGCTGGTCGTTTTATTATTATTCCTACCTTAAGACGTTTTATCCAGAGTTGAATAGATTTATTGATATTGACATTGATTTTGAATGAACCTACTTTTATTAAAATTTTCTGCTAATGTAATTTTAAGTTAATTTGCTTCTATTGTCACTTGTCAGCGTTACCTACCTAGAATAACTCAACGCGTTGACTGCGACTTGAGATTTCACTATTAACTATCTATTGTACCTATATTATTGTAAATTGTGATATTAAAAACTATGTTAGCACTTAGCTCTGGAATCTATGCACATCAAGCCCATTTTATAATTATACCTATTAAAAAGTAAAAAGTGTTATAAAATTAATTAATGCAATGGAGCAGTTTTCATCATATTTTGAAGGAATCATAAATAATTTCGTTTAAATCACATCAATCACGATTCAAAGTTTTATGTAATGTAAAACATCATTTACACAGAACGATCAAAATTCTATTAAAGTTGGTTTAGAATTATTTACAGCTAGTATTGATATTGTAATTAGTATCTACCTAGTTAAATTATTTTCCACGATTTTCGAGGAAATAAAATAAATGTTGAGGGTTTATTATTAGAGTTATCCACATTCTGTGTTTAAATTTCTGGTCTCTACGAGTTTAATAATAAGTAGATACCTACTGCACATAAATGTAGAGTTTTTTTTTGTTTACTATTCCTAAAATGTTGATACAATAAAAAATCATGCATATATTGAATAATCATAAAACAAAACTTTATTCTGTATCATATAAATAAGCAAATACAATCGTAGAATCTTATTTGACAACTACAAAACACATGTGAAATAACTATTATAGTTATGACTAATAATTTAATGTTAGAAGCACACATAATATTATATAATATTAAGTAATATAATATTATATAATAGTTTAAATTTCAATCGTGGGATATATTACACACTTGTCGATCATAATACTTTTTCAAATTATAAATAGTCTTTGAAAAATATAGCTTATACAAAAGTCATTTTTAACTCACCTCTGTTCACTATTTAATTAAACAAATTTTTGAAATTGTTATCATGAATGTTAAAACAATTGCAGTGACTGTGTTATTTACGGTATATATGTCTATATATTAATTATTATTGTGTAATGTTTCGTAAAAAAAAAGTTATATATTCACTATATTTGTACCTACAAGTTTTTTTTTTTAACTCAAACTGTTTTTTTAATAGTAGATCTTACAAAATTACTTTTTATATCACCTACAAATGTAAAATGCAAATTATTTCTATGATCAATTCCCGAGTAACACAAAATATGATTTAAATCAAGTAACATAACAAAAATACTTTGGATCAGGACACTATTGGTCCTATTTTGTACCTACATTTTGTGGATAGATCATAGCAATAATTAAGTGTTGAAAGATATAATATAACAGATAATTTACTAGTCCAATTATTTTATTGAGTTATTAATATTTATAAACAATAAACATGTTATAATTATTATATTATATAAACTAATTCTGTTATTTGGTTGATTCAAATTCTAAATATAAACATTAACAATTAATAGAAATATTTTTGTAGACGCATTTTCGTAATTAACATGTGTAAATAATGTTAACTTCATTTAACCTAATTTTACATTTTTAGATATCTCCCTCACTCAAAAAAAGATATATTATTATTTAAATAACACTGATCAATAATTTTTGCATTAAAATCATCAGTTTGTTCAAAAGAAAAAAATATATACATATAAAAATATAAAATACATTAATAGTTCACACTAACCTAACATTTATTGAAATGATTAACGAGTATCTATATAGTACACAAATGTATGAATATAATTTAAGTAATTTTTATGTAATTAAAACAGAATTATAACTTGTTATTTTGAACTAAATGAAGAAATGTATTGTGTCTAGGTACTAAATGGATACAACGCACTTATTTATCCATTCGATTATGCGCCTATGTTATGCGAAGATCCTACACAAGTCACGTTTGATTTTATAGTTGTTGGAGGCGGAAGTGCTGGCGCAACTGTAGCTGCTCGATTAAGTGAAATACCTGAATGGAATGTTTTACTATTAGAGGCTGGAGGTGATCCACCAGAATTAACAGAAAATCCTATTTTATGGAACCAAAATTTAAAGACTAAATGTGACTGGGCATTTTTGTCGGAAAAGCACCCTTTACTTTTTAAAGGAATGGAACAAGAGAGGTGTCTTATATCTAGGGGTTGTATGTTAGGTGGATCATCTTCAATTAATGCAATGGTGTACTTGCGTGGTACTGTACAGGATTTTAGACTGTGGAAATCTAAATATGGTTGTCATGGATGGGACTACGAAGATGTTTTACCGTATTTTAAAAAGTCAGAAGATTTTGTAGATATTTGTAGATACAATTCAGAAATTCATTCACGAGGAGGACCACTGACGGTGACACCATTAGAAACATTCGATCCAGCTTATAAGGTTATCGCTGATTCACAAAAAATATTAAATTTAATTAAAGTGAATGATTTGAATAGAATAGAACCTGCAGCTGTCGGGTATGGTAATTTTGATTCAACCACTCGTAAAGGTCGTCGTTGTAGTACACTAAAAGCGTTTTTAATACCAGCAAGTGATCGTCCAAATCTGTATGTAGCAAAAAATACAATAGTTACTAGAATTTTAATTGAAAATGATGTGGCAGTGGGAGTGAACTTCAAATGTTCATCAGAAGAAATTAAATCACAGTGGCGGTTCTGGTAGTATTTTTTCGGTGAGGCAACCTATGTATCAAACCCCCCCCACCCCCCCATACAAAATTAGAATTCACAATAAATGTAATTTAAAAACATAAAAACAATTATAATTGTATGAATGCTAATAATATACTTGTTTCGTATAGTAAATAATATAGTAAGTGATAGATAGGTAATAAACAGAGCATTTTAAAATTTGGTAGTTCTGAAAAGGACCTTTTGAGTAGGCCAACAAAACATTTTTTGTATATAATGACTCCCACATAACCAAGAGTGTTGTTGATATAAATTTGGATTAAATGACCTACAGAATACCTTACTTAGATTCTTGTCAGGAGCCAAAGCTTACAAAATCGGAATAGGCTTACCCACTTTTAGCAAATCATTTTTATTATCAGAATGCCATCGTCGAAACGGGGTCTAAAACAACATAACTACCACGTCTGTCACTGGATACGTCATAACTCCAACAGTAATTAATTTAATAATGTTTATTACAACAAACTGCAGCGTTATTTTAACGTAGACGTTAAGACGAACCAGAACCACCGAAAAAGTGTAAGACACAACTACAAAAGCGACTATTCGTACAAGACGTCAAGACAGAAATGACTAATGACAAATATAAAATTATTATCAATAGATATTACAACGGACAACTTTTAATTAGGAGTATTAGGACTGTCCCGAGTAGTGGTGGGCAAAAACCATCGATGTTCTTAAAACATCGATGTTTTCGTTCGATACATTGATGTTTTACCATCGATTTTACCCATCAAAGTATCGCTTTAAATATCGATGTTCAGAGTTCGATGTTGATAATATGTTTTCCCTGATAAATTGGAATATTTGATATTTATTATTTATTAATCAACGAGTGTCTAGAGACGCTGTGTCTCTGATAGTGTGATACTGATGATAATAGTACTGATAAGAGGCGCTGTCTCTAGACGCTCGTATTAATCAGTTATTATTAAAAGGTTTTAAATTATTAATAAAATCATTAGCACCACTCTATAAAATGCCTAGTAGAAGGAATGTCTCAAGAATAGTTAAAATACAAGTGTTATAATTTTATTTTGAATTACTAATTTTATTGTTATGTACTTTTTTCATTTAGTACTGTTAAATACCTAATAAAATACTATTATTACCTAATTATAATTATTTTATCATTTTATCATTTTTTTATATACATATTTATATTTATTATATTTTTATTTATTTTTTTATATACATATTTTTCAGGGTTGACATGTTTAAAACATGATTTAAACTAAGAAAAGAAACAAATTGTTCATAGTTTTAAACGTTTTAAACAGCAAAAAAAAATCATTTGTAATAATTCTTTTGGTAAAAAATAATAACATAATAATAATAGTCTTATAAAACCAAATAGGCTTTTGGATTTTCTCTGACCATAGACTGAGACTTTAAAACAACAAAATTAATTTTAAATTTATAAAAATTAACAATAGAAAAAAAAACATCAATTCTAAGTTGTAACACTTTTAAAATAACATGTTCAACATATTTGATACTAACTTTGTTTATTATCAACTAAATATAAATCCGTGTTCACTATCAAGTTTAAAGACATTTTTAACATTCGAATCCCTACTATTTTACAAAATTTAATGAGTATATTCAATTTTAAATTTAAATTTTTTGTACCATCGAATATCGAATATTTTAAACAATCGATATTCTTATGACTAAACACCGATAGTTCAACATCGATAGCTTCATACATGAAAACAATCGAACATCGATTGTTTAAAATATTTGCCCATCACTAGTCCCGAGTCTCGATTGTAACAATAACATCTTTACTGATAAGTGATAATGTGTTTTTACGTTGAAATGCCGGCTGATATTCCTGTATACCGAGTCTATTTTTAGTACATAAGGCGATGTTAGTCGAGCCTCGCAATGATCATTGCGCATGCGCAACTCTAGTTATTTAATAGTCGCGTGCATTCGCGTACATACGCTTGTGTGTGTAATTCATGTACACAATAGTACATACTCTGAGGCGGAGTTGAACGGAGCCTTCTGACGTCATCGGAACATTGCCGCCGGTTGAAACACCAGCGTTTGTTTACGTAATAATTATTTCATACATTTCTTATCGGTTTATCACTATTTTTGGTAATAAATACTTAATGATAATATGATTTACCATTTACAATATAATAAATGATAATTCATTTTGTTAAACTTGGCAAAGAAGATTTTTTTCTCAAATAAAATCATAAAAACGTTAAAAATTATTATCGAAATATGTAGGTACCTATATGCTATCGGTGGGCCAAAAATTATACTTTAATAGTATTTTTTACTTAAAATTGTAGGTTAGGCGGCGCCTCACTTGCCTCACCCCCAAAACCGCCACTGTTAAATCAGTTTTTTGTACAAAAGAAGTGGTATTATGTGCTGGACCTATAAAAAGTCCACAGCTTCTTATGCTCTCTGGAATTGGACCAAAAAAACATTTAAATTTTCACGGTATTACAACCATCAAAGACTTACCAGTAGGTTATAACTTACAGGATCATGTGTCACTTCCTGTGTTCGTATTTACAGATCGCAAATATAGATCAATTGAGGACATAAAAAATGAAAGTAGTGATTTGTTGCAAAAAGAAATGAGCCTATATTCAAAAAATATATCAACACTCGGCCTAACGAACCTTATGACATTTTATAAATCAAACGACGATTTAGAGTATCCTGATATACAACTAATAAATTTCAGAATTCCGTTCAACTCAACAAACTCTTTTCCAAATAAAATTAATGTTTTAACAAACATGTTTGGATATGCTAAAAAAGTAACAGATTTATATGACGAGTTAAACTGGTTAAGTGACCTTATAGTAATCACACCAGTTTTGTTACAACCATTAAGTACAGGTCGAGTTATGTTGAAATCTGTAAATCCGTTAGACGATCCAAGAATTATTTTAAATTATTTATCATATGACAAAGAAATAGAAACCCTATTAAAGGGTATTGAATTTGTTGTCAAATTATCTAAAACTAAAAGTATGATTGATGCTGGGCTTGTATTAGAGGAGCTGAAATTATCAAATTGTGCCAATTGTATTTGGGACACTCGAGAGTATTGGATTTGTATCATTCAGAACTTAGCAGCTCCTTTTTATCATGTCGTTGGTACTTGTAAAATGGGTCCAGAAGATGATTGTTATTCTGTTGTTGATACTAAATTAAGAGTGAAAGGTATAAATGGTTTGAGGTTGATCGATAGTTCAATTATGCCGAAAATTGTTTCTGTGAATACCAACGCAGCTTCAATAATGATTGGTGAAAAAGGAAGCGATATAATAAAAGAATGTTATGGAAAGCTTTGATGAATAAAACATAAATTTAATAATTTACAATAATTGTAGTTAAATTTACTATAAAATGGTAATAAATAATAATCATAATCCCTTTATCATATAGGTAAAGTAGGTCCATTATTAATTTGTCGAACGTTGATATACCGAATTCTTTATAATTTCTAACTCTATTGACATCTCCTGTAAAGAATTATCATAAAACTCTATATCTCGAAGTTTTTTCTGTTCCCCTTGAGCTTTGACATAAAGAGATTTTACCGTTTATAAGTAAATAATATTGTTGATTTATTTCCGATAACATTTCAAATTATTAATTCTCTCGATTTTTTTCAGTTATTTAAAATCACGGTATATTATATAATATACCGTGTTTAAAATAAATCTTTTTTAAGATGTTGATTAAAATAAATGCAATCTTACTTTAAATGTTGTTTAAAATAAATGGTTTAGACATCTTATTATTTACTGAAAAAATATTTTGAGTTGTTTTAAACTTTAACTCAATATTACGTAATATAGGTTTTAAAGCTTAATTTAAATATTTTTTCACAAAATGTCTTAAAAATATATATAAATTAATGGTTATTGGTAGATATATTAGTAGGTATATAATACATTTAGTTTGAGAAAGTTATGTTACAATTATTAATAAATTAATATTATTGATTTTTTTTTTTTTTAGTTAGTAGTGTATCAAATATCAATACTTATACTTTTTAATTTAAATGATTTTTACTATGTATTGAATTAATAGTTTATGATCGAATTATTTGTAATTCAAAATAGATTTAAAATTTAAAAATGTTTATGTAAGTTTTACTAATTTAATTGTATTAACAATAAGATGTACTATAATTTGTTAGAATTACTGTATTAAGAATTGAAAACTATTTCTTGTTTCAGTTGTTTCAATTAAAACAACTTTGAATAATAATTATGAAAAATATCACGTTTGCTATGGAACAATATGTAATATTGTAATTACTAATTTTGCATAAACTGAAATAAAATACTGTCGATGATTAGTGATTACGGACCGCAGAGTGTATTAATAATTATAACTCGTTGCACTTAGGTATCTCATAGTCCTATAATAGAGTTTTATAATTTTATGGTGATTGATTAAAAATGCTTAAATAATGATTTGAATGTCAATAGAGATCCAAATGCCTATGTTTCGTGATTACAAGTGCAGGATGTATAAATTATTCAAAATTGACTTAATACCATTGAAATTGAAATCAATTGATTTATAAAAATGTATAAGCCTTACAATTATCACACTAGCTATAGTATCATAGTTTCATACCGTATAGTATCGGTATAGTAGGTACTAGGTACCTAAACAACTCACATAGAGGACATTTATTTCTATTCTTATATTTTCACTGCTACAGTTTTAAATTTTAATTATGAAAGATGTGACTTTATATGTATACACAAGTACACAACACTACATTAATAACTTATTTTACTATTTTTCCCGACTCGCAATCATCTTTCGTACATTTTACATTTCAATACATTCGGGATAAATCTGTAATGAATCCTATTATAAGACTTGACACCTGGTTGACTGTTTAGAATTATTTTATCAATACCCAAAATGATATTATCATAATTGTATAAATTGGTTATGTAGGTATTTAAATTACTAGTAAGTATTCAGTATTATTACACTTATACCTAACCTATACAATATGATATTTTCTAACTTAAAAAAAAAAGTTTTAATATAGAATAGTTTACAAATGGTTGTGTATTTAATGATAGATGATTTATGAGTAATGAGTATGGTACACTGAAATATATGAAAATCATTAATAATTGATTGTTTTGAACATAAATTATGAAAAATATTAAATCTAAAAATTAAAAGTTACAAAATACATGTAGTTTATCAAGGCAGTTCTTTGGGTAGAATTTCATCGTAAAGTATAGTTTTCAATATAGTATTGGCAATTTGCAGTGCAAATTCGACAGCAATCTCTTCTGCAATTGGAGTGATGATATCCAAAACAACTCGACGGTTTTGGTGGTAAAACGTTGATGCAGTTTCCGCTAAAAACATTTAAATAAGTATAAATAATGTAGGTATATGGATCTATATATGATTCAATTGATGTACAATCACTAGTTCAAGAATTAAAATTGATTTTGAATTTATAAAAAAAAACTATTAAGCGTTAAATCATCTACCTAATAAACATTAAACATAAAGACTAGGTAGTAGATATATAATAGAGCATACTTAAGACATCGTTATTTTTGTTGATGTTTTGTGGTATTATTTTTCCATTAGCATCTCCAACTTTGAGTTTGATTCGAATATCCTTTACTTGGAAGTACTCACGATTTTTTTTGTCTTTTAATAATTCAAGACTCGCTTTGACATCAGCTTTTGTGTTAGCTGTGAATAAAACGGTAATTAATTTGTGGATATAATATGTTTCCTAAATAAGTCGTGGTTCAAACAAATGAATATTATTAATTTGGTTACATTAAATAATTACTAGGCGAACCTATAATAATACACCATCCGACATATTTGTTATAATAATTGTATTATTCATTAGGTACCTTTCTATTATTATATGTCAGATATGTAGTTTCTATTAATTATTCGAAATTAGCAATTACGAACATATTGTAATAATGCATTAACAAATTATAAATTGATAACACGACTTCATGTATTTTGCGACTTACTTATGTTCCCTCTAAATATTCCTTGACCTTGGAGTGGAACAACCATTAGACGACCATCAATGTCGTACGTACAGTTAACAAATAGATTTGGGAGAAGAACAGTTCCTTCACCGTTTAACTTTTCAAAATTTATCCTGAAACAATATAACGACACAAATGGATCAAATATTTGTATAAAATTTATGCTCGGCCTCGTGTTGTAATTGGTGTCAAGTTCTTTGGAAATAATAAGCGTCTACCTCCGCCAAGATGTAATTAAAGTTATTGCGTAACGATAGTAGTGTTATGTGTTGTTGTTTGGTCAAGTTTTTACATTTTACACCAGCGCAATTTTGTGTTGTGCAATAATTAATAAAGAAAGAAATAATCAAGATGGGGAATATATTTTTTTTAAAACCTATAGATTACGAATGCATTTTTTTCAAAAAAAAAAAATTAATTTAGACGTTGTTATTGTTATGGTCAACTACTGGGTCAACATTGTAAAATCCCGACACACTGTGAATACTGAATAATTGAGTTACCACTTTCACCTAATCACGTGTTTTTACTTTTTTCAACGATTATTTGTAACACATGTGCATGTTTAAACATATTTACTGTATGTAGATTATATTAATATTAAAACCATAATATTCTGTTTAGTTAAGTGTGTACTTTGGAATATGAAATTCAAAGAAGTTTAAATTTGAATAATATATTAAAAATTAAAATTTGTTAATTTTTTATAATAATTATTTAATAAATTATGTGTCATAGTATGTGATACACACTAAATCTTTTGATTGTACATTTTATACTGCAATTAATTTGAACTAATTGTATTCAAAAGGTAAAAGGTTAAATTCAGTTTACTAAAAATTTGAATTCTAACTTGTAGATATTAATTCTATTATTTTCATCTTATTTATTTTTTTTATCAATAAACTAATAACTAAGCATTTTCAAAAATACTGCACATTTAATAGCTTAATAGACTTTTAAATTGAAAAATAACTGTGCTATTCATAACACAACATATTGCTTTATATTTTAATACCGTAGAAATTAAATAATTTAACTATATATATATACAGATCGACATGTTATAAAACAAATAATACTAAATAATAATATTGTGTCTGGACAGATTAAATATTAAAGTTGAATTTAAATTTTTTTTTCCTATTTGAAAATTTTAAAATAGATGACATATATTATTGTATTGATTTTGTATTGCAAATATTATGTCATACTTTGAATTTGTCATATATGTGAAATGTACATATTTATGCATATACCTATTAAATAAATATTAAGAAATAATAGAAATATTCATCATATTATCACTTTTAAATCAACTTTTACAAACGATACTAAAAATCAAATTAATTTTGCAGTAAACATATGATTATAAGACTCTTATGTTGTATAGCCGTATAGGAAAACATATTTTACGTGAAATCAGAATCCATTGTGTAATGCACAGGTGTATAATTCTAATTTTTAATTTTTTTTTTTTTTATTGAACGTAAGCCCGGCAACTGTGGCCATTAGCTGTATGGTTTGTTTGTAGGTGTATTGTATTGTTGGTTGTAGTAGGGGGGAACCCGTGTGTGTTGGGTTTTGGCAGAATTTTCAATTTGGGCACCCGTAGGTATCTGCCATGCCCGGGTGGGGGATGGCGGCACTTGTTCTCCGGACACCGTGACTTGCCCGAAGAAAAATGCCGCCCGGTGGCCGGGAATCGATTTTTTAATACTATTGTAAAAATGTAGGTACTAATGTTTATTAAAAGCAAGTGCTGCGATTATTTTATATTATATGATACGGTATATACTATAAATAATGAATGCTTGTATGTTAGTGTAATTTAATTTAAATACGTACTTGAGATTGTTGATCACAAATTTAGATCCACCCCATGCTTGTACATCTTTAATTGTAGCTTTAACTTTAAGAGCATCCTCATTTCTATTTACTACCAACATGGGTATGACCATTGGTTCCAAAGCCGGGATTTGCATTTTGGGTATCCCTATATTATAAAGAACAATTTAATTTAAAACTTCCTAATTTGTAGGTATTATCATTGATTATAGATACATAGTATTATTATTATACTATGTATAATCAATGGTATTATCTACACTAAAAAAAAATTAATGAATTAAAATCTTATCTTATAAACACATATAAATTACCATTAGGTAACTCGGGTCTCAGGGATTCGATAGTTTGCAACAAACATTTTTCTAGCTGAGGATCATTTCTTTTACACACGTGCACGAAGTTGGCTGAAAAATGTAGGTACTATTAAAATATATTCAAAACATATATTTAATTATAATACACATATTATAAGTAGGTATATAAAATTATTAATATATTAATAAGTTTATATCAATGTAAATTTGACATTATAAGATCTCGTACGTTGATTATCCTGTATTATTGTCATCGAATGTTTATTTATAAAAAATAAATTAAATTTACTTACGTAACCTTTTTGCTGTTGTGTGTTGAGTTTGTTGGGCGATTAGCACTATGCTGGCTATTAACAGGAACATTTGTCCTCCCATTATTAACTGAAATTATTTATTAAAAATATTATTTGTATTGTGTATGAAGTGAGCAATAGGTAGGTAGGTTCTAAATCATAAAAGTCTTAATTGGTTTTTCAAAAAGACATTGTTTTTGAACCTTTCTAGAATTAAACATTATTCATTCAAGTTTTAAACCATAGGTACTTATTTTAAAATCAAAAAAGGAAAAGTGGTGAAAAAATATATTTCCTTCAACCCTTGGTTGTATTTCCAAAATTTAATAGGAAATCGAATTTAGAATAAAACATATACAATGATTCGATACAAACTATACAATTTTTAATTATGATCTCATTAAAAATTATTATAATAATTGTATGATTTAATATAATCGTATTTATTTTCTACTATACTTCTAAATATTGATGAATGAATAATTACTATAATTAATTTATATTATCCTTTTATATTCCCTGTATCCTGTTAAACCTCATCATACTAGTACTACCTATATGTATAACATGAATTATTATTTAATATTAGATTTTATTGTTATATTTAATATTTAAAGTATGACTTTAATGTATAATGTCTATATATAATATACATAACTCATTTCATTTTGATTTAGATTTTGACTAATGTAAAAACAATAACTCGGATATAGGACTGCATATTATAAAGTGTTGTTTTTAAAAGTTACTTTTCAATTTTGAAGTCTGCAGACCAGAGGACTATAGAGGAAATAAAATACGATGTAATGGGATACGAGTGTTAAAAAATAAATCAATTGTGGTCGACAAAAGCCAAAGGAATAAGGGCATATAGATGCAGGATATAGAAAATCGTGAAAATCATCGGGAAATATCGTATATTTATAATGTATACATTATTATAATACATTAATAGGTACCTATAATTATTACCTATAATAGTATAATATATTATATTATGACGGTCGTTGGCGACAACGTTTCCGTTTGTCTAACAATTGATAGATACATATCTGGTATCTGATATTGTACAAATATAGGCGTTGGGTCAACACTAAAATATAGATATAACAGCGTCATACTTACGTTTTCTAAAACGTCTTACGATGAAATCGATAACTCCGATGGTCATGTGTGCCGCTCCTTTGCGTGTCCGGCGCGGCTGCCCTGCGATATCACCTCGCAACGTGGATAATATAAATAGGTATTATCCTTTCGTCGTTGCGGCGCGGTCGTATAATATAATATCAATGACCGGCCAGACTCACTTGTCAGCGTTATATAAATTACCGAGGACCTCGGAGGCGGCGGCTTGTTGAGCAACACCATAATAATAATAATAATAATAGGTAAACATATAATGCATTATAATACATATATACAGTAATAATATAACATGTGACTTCTTGCCCTCTCCTCACGTTAGTTTGTTTTACATGTAGGTAAACGTACCTACCTTATAATATATTGTTCGTTTCTTTCTCCTTGAATCCGATTAGATCGTCCGTGGTCACTTGCATTTCCTTCGCACACGTTGACGACCGACAGCACTCCGTGGCGCGGAGACTCGTTGCGAAATCGACGTCGTCCGCAATAGCCAATACGCATACATACATATATTTATATATATAAATCACAGTAAATAGTAATAATGTATACGACCGACGGCGAGCAAATTTATTTTTTACGACTCAAGTCTGCTGCTCACCCATGTACAGTTACTACGACGTATTCCGTGATCCAAGGGGTGGGAAATATTTTCTCGCGTTATGCCATTCGGAAACGGAGGATATTATGACCTAAGTGACGTTGCAGTTGTTACAGACTCTTTGGGTCCGGGAAGAAAGGTCAAACGTGCGTGCTGTACTATATAATAGTGTAAGCTACGGAATGTCACATGATATACAGGTTGGTTCCAGGTTCACCAAGCATGTTCGCCCTCCTTTTTACAAACTTTTGTTTTTAAAATGCGAGAACTACCTTTTTTTACTATACCTATAAATTATTTAGCAGATGATTAATTTTCGGAAATTTTGGTGTACCTATATGCAAATGTAAATTCTCAGATCTAGTAGTTAGTATAGACGTTATATGTACTTACTATAAAGATAATAGTCCAAATGGTAACTGGCTGAAAGACATAAAGGGGGCTTAAATAGTTTAAAAATTGTAGAAATACTATAATGTATTAATTTGTAAACATTGTACGAATATGTTAAGTACTAGATTAAATATCAGATCCATTTTATATTTTTATAAAACCATTTTTAAGGACATTACCCTTATTATAGTATATACCTAATACTTATATATGTGTATACACTTTAATAACTCGTTTGAATTTTAACTTAGATTCATCAACATTTCCAAAAAATTTATCTATTCAATCATATTTTACTGTACAAAACGTGGGTTTCATTTGAACAAAATACGATGGTATCGCCACAGGACACTTCTATCAGAAATGGTACAAATAATCCAATCACTTAAAAATATGGCCTTTAAGTACCTATAGTAAAGACCTACTTGAAATTTCCAAAAATTTGAATTTGAATAAATGCGTTATTGGAGTGAAAAAGGTAGCGTTGGCATGTTTGTTGTTGAATCACCCTGTATACAGTTTTATTCTACCCATATATATATATATGTGTGTGTGTGTGTGTGTGTGTATTCATATAGGTAATGTAATAACATATAGGTAGTCGTAATAATATTATTATTATGTCGTTTGCCGTCCGCTGAGAGACTCGCGCGCATCGACAAATACGAACGAGATCGCACGCTCGTTTATTATGACCGAATGACCGATTGTATAACTATATAGTACTATACAGCTGCAGGCACGACCTATTAAATCGTTTAAACGTGTATTAATACGAGTATACGACTCCTGTGGATAAACAGGCGACGTCTGCAGGATTTAACTTAATAATATAGCCAATATAGGTATATTATGGTGCATGATGCGGAACAGTAAAGTTTTCAGGTGTAGGGTACTATAATGGGTTATTCCTTGTAGAACGAAATTTTGAGAAATTTTAATCTTCAGCGGGTTCAATGGGTTGTTGATTCCGTTCTCGAAAGGCAATACCGCATTTCGAATAAAAACAAGAGCGTATATACGTCTGTCGTGAATCGTGATATTATACTTCGTCACATATAGACGTATAGTGCATCACACTCCCATAATATTGCATTATTGCGTCTATTGTAATTACTGTGAATGTATGTAACTTGCCGAAATTACGACTTATGACGAATTTAAGATTAACATACTTAAATACGTAAAATGTATTATAATATATAACGATTATAATGTATAAATAATAAGAGTTAAGATGTTAAGGGGGTGGATCGTAGCTACACACACCAGCGCAAACTTATACATTTATATCCATAAAGATATTCAAGATATCATATTATTAATATTATACAGATTATATTATTATAATGCTCTTAACTCGTAAGTACATACGTACATACGCATAATATAGTTATACCTTATACACAGTTTTTATATGCAAAGGCTTGCCGCGTGCGCATACCTGAATTTCGGGGGGTGCCTACAATATTATTAGGCCATTTCTTAACAATACATGTAGGTACATATAAATCGGTTGTAGTGTTGTACCTATATAATTACTAGTAGAAACTACTAATTAGTAATTACCATAGTTATATATTTCCTTTTATCAATCTAAGATAATTGCATTGTTTATTTATTATTAATTGTACCTACTTGTTTAGTCAATGACACCTAGCTGTTATAATCATAATAAGTAGTTACTCCGCTCAAATTTAAAATATTGTACGTTTTATTATTTTTTTTATCTTGAAACATGATTTTTTTTTTTTACCACAGGTATATTAGAAAAAATTACATTTAATTCTAGTACCTAACCTTAATTAAAATACGGGCCCTATGATCTGGGACTTAAATTTTAGGCACACCCGGCACCCTCTGTACTCACACCTATGTGTATATATAGTCGGACACATATTTTTATTATATTTTATTTAGCTACGAACTTGTTCGGTGTCAGAAATGTGATTTTATATACGTCATAAGTACTCTTAATAGTTAAAATTACAATACAATTAAACATATAGGTATTAGATAATACAATAAAATATTAACAGATACCAACATTAAGTTTTTGTCAAATTATAATGTAATATTTATTTATAATTTTCTCAGTTATTTTTAAAAAATATAAAATTTTTAATTTTAAGTTAATACCTAAGTGCATATTTTATTAAATATTCAATAAAATCCTGTTATAGGTACGCTATTATATTGTGTAATACTAATAAAAAATAAATAAAAACAAACCCATTTTCCAAGTGGGTCAATAACTTGTTATTATAACCTTGAGAAATGAGAATAAATAATTAAGCTTCATTTCCAATAAAATGTGACATTATATATTGTTAAAATCTCTTTTATTTTGTTTTATTATCACACATTTATTTCTATATAGGTACAGTGAAACCTCGATAACTCGAATCGGTTGGGGGTGAAAAAAAATGGAGTTTTCAAAAATTCGAGTTATAGAAAAAATTGTGTGTACTTATTGAAATGAAGGGGCGAAGATATTCCTTCGAGTTATCGAAAATTCGACTTATAGACGTTCGAGTTATCGAGGTTTCACTGTATTTTATATAATCAATTGACTGTCACACTCAAATATTTTATGATGTTTATACTTTATTCTTTAATAATAACATCTTTAGATTTATATTCATTTAATAATATTTTATTAATTGTAATTTAGTCCATATTGATTATTATAAAATAATTATTGTCAAAGACCAAAGTAAATTGTAAACGTGTATACCTACCTAATGGTATGATGAGTATCTATTGAGTAATCGGTAATGTCAAATGGATTATACTATTTACGATTTTTTAATATACAATAAACATATATATTATAAAATAAATTAAAGTAAATGCTAGTACCCGGTATTGAGTATAAATGTATAATGAATATTTTCATACATCGAATAACCACAAGGTACAAATTGTGTGTCGGTCTGGCC